TACATTTAGTTTATGGGTGCTATTTTGGGAATAGAAGGAGCTCTGATAGTGTAGTGGTTAAAACATTCAGCTGCTAACCAAAAGGGGCAGTACAAACCCACCAGCCACTCTGCAGGAGAAAGATGAAGTAGTCTGCTTCCATAAGGATTTATCACTTCAGTAACCCTAGAGGGAAGTTCCACTCTGTCCTATAGGGTTGTTATAAGTTGCAGTATACTCAATGGCAGTTTTTATTTTTTTTTTTTTTGGGGGGATAACATAATAGTCAAACTTAAAAACTAATAAATACTGGTAGTAGGAGTTGAATGTTTTTACAGAGAAAGAACAAAATAATAACTTATTCTAGAATTTAGAGAACTGTACTGAAGATTACCTAGAAAGAGAAAATCTTTAGTTAAGTTTGAATGTCACCTCACCAGAGAACAAGAATTTAAAATCATAGGCAGAGAACATGCTTATGGCTCTGTTCCTAGGCCAGTTAGGATATTTAGAATGTCTATTCATAACATTATTTACAGTGGGAGTATTATCATTTATTTTAGCATTATCCTGCCTGTGGAACCAAAATAATATTAAAATACACATGTAAAAAAGAGATCTGAATTGGTTTCCAGTTACTTAAACTGCAAGCATAAGTAGTTAATTTTCATCTCTAGTAGCCTAAAAGGATAAACATTTTATCTTTGATGAATTATTTATTTATTTTTTCCCTTCAGTGAGTCCATATTTTATCTTCTAGGACATAGTTGGTAATTCTAAATCCAGAGTCCAGGTATTTGTTTCACGATGATAATATTACCACTAGCTCTTATCATTTGTACTAAATTTTTGTATTAATATTAATATTAATGTGAGAGAGTGAAAAATTTAGTTGGTAAATTATATGCAAATTAACCCAATGCAAACTTTAATGGACCAGTGCACTCAAAAAAGTTCTTTAAAACAAAGGTGGCTGAAGTGGCAACAAGGTCGATTAATCACCATTAAAAGGGAACATTACAAGTCAAAGAATATAGAATACTTTAAAGCAAACAATATGAATGCAATCAAACAATATGAATGTAATAGCTTAACTATTAATCAAACAATATGAATGTAATAGCTTGTATAACCCATTTATTATACTATAGGTATAGTAACCACAACCAAACTCACTGCCTTTGGGTCTATTCAACTCATAAAGACCCCTCTTTGGGTTTCTGAGACAGCATCGCTATGGGAGTAGATTGCCCAATCTCCCTTCCAAGGAGTGGCTGGTGGGTATAAATAGGAAGCATATTTTTTTTCCAATCACAGCTTTCACTGTGTTCTGTCAAATTCCACTTTTATCCACAACCCCCAGCTAGTGAAGATAACATCTGTACATCATGGTTGTAGGTGCCCCCCCACCCTTTAGAGAATTCTTTTGGGGCTTTGGTCATGTGGCTTTAGTGGCTTTTATGTGGCTTTTTCAGCATCCTTTTCCTCCTCACCAAGGGAGGAACAGGACTTACCTATCACTGTGAAGATTACATTTATGTAACTGTCATAGATTCCCAGGGACACTTTTCTCTTATAGACTTGTTTTATAGCTTGGAAAAGTATGAGGCTGGCAGTTGAGTTGGGTAGACATAATCTGAGGAAATGTTCTTGATGCAATGATTAATGTCTCTCCTTGAGGTACGGGAGTATTTAAAGTCTCTTTGTCCTCAGTTTTGGATCTTATTTTATTGAATTCTGGAAAAGGAAAATTCCATTCAAATTTTGTTAAACAAGAAATATATATTTTCTATTTTTTTTCCCCATCCTCATTCTTCTTCTTGGATATTACAAGATGTTAGATTTTGCCAACATCCTATGATTACTGGGATGGAAGAGGAGCAACATTTAAGATACAAGACACAGGTGTATGGCTGTCAGGTGTATGGCTGGTAGCTCCTACTCACAACTTTTTGAGAATTCCAATGAGCTCTAGAGAAAGTGAGTTGCCTTCCACTGGCCTGTTTGGAGATTGGCTTGGTAAGGTTTTAATTTGAGATTCAATCACTAAATCAAGTTAGCTGTTTATCAACTCCTTCTCTAAACAAGGATTACAATGTGTGGCCTCCAGATATACAGTATCAATATTATCTGGGAAAGTTGTAGAACTACAAATTCTCAGAGAAGCCAAAGCAAACAGAAGAAATGATATAAAAAAGGGTGGTTCAAGAAGACAAAGTAAAGTATTATAATAAAAAATGCGAAGACTTAGAGTATGAAAACCAAAAGAGAAGAACATGCTTGTCATTTATCAAGATGAAAGAACTGAAGAAAAAGTTCAAGCCTCGAGTTGCAATATTGACGGGTTCCATGGAGAAGACACTGAAAGACACAGGAGGCATCAAGTGAAGACGGGAAGAGTATATAACATCACTGCTACCAAACAGAACTGGTTGATGTTCAACAATTTTAGGAAGTTGCATAAGATCAAGAACTGATAGCACTGGAGGGAGAAATCCAAGCTACACTAAAGGAATTGAAGATAAATAAGGCTCTAGTAATTGATGGAATATCAATTGATATGTTTCAACAAATGCATGCAATGCTAAAACCACTCACTTATCTATGCCAAGAAGTTTGAAATACAGCTACTTGTCCAATCAACTGGAAGAGATCCATATTTGTGCTCATTCCAGAGAAAGGTGATCTAACAGACTGTGGAACTTATCAAACAATATCATCAATATCACATGCAAATGAAATTTTAGTGAAGATAATTCAAAAACGGTTGCAGCAGTACATGGACAGGGAATTGCCAGAAATCCAAGTCAGATTCAGAAGAGGATGTGGAACAAGGGACATGATTCCTGATGACAGACAGAGCTTGGCTGAAAGCAGAGAATACCAGAAAGATGTTTACCTGTGCTTTATCAACCATGCAAAGACATCCAACTCTGTGGATCATAACAAATTACAGATCACATTTTGAAGAACAGTAATTCCAGAACACTTAATTGTGCTCATACAAAATCTGTTTATAGACCAAGAAGCAGTTGTTTGAACAGAACAAGGGGATACACACCATAATTTAAAACCAAAAAATGTGTGCACACCATGCTTGTATTTTTTCACCATATTTATTCAATCTGTATGCTGAGTGACTAATTCAAGCAGCTGGACTATACGAAGAAAAACGTAGCATCAGGATTAGTGGTAGATTCACTAACAATCTGTGATATGCAGACAACACAAACTTGCTTGCTGATAGTGAAGAAGACTTGAAGCATTTACTGATGAAGATAAAAGACTTCACTGTGAATTACCCCAGTATTAAAAAAACAAAAAATCTTCACAACTGGACCAATAAGCAACATCATGATAGACAAAGACAAGACTGAAGTTGCCAGGGATTTCATTTTACTTGGATCCACAATCAATGAGCATGGAAGCAGCAGTCAGGAAAGGAAATGAGTTATCACATTAGACTAATCTGTGGCAAAAGTTCTCTCTAAAGTTTGAAAGAGCAAAGATGTCACTCTGAGGACTAAAGTGTGCTTGACTCTAGCCAGGATGTTTCTAACCACTTCATATTCATGTAAAAGCTGGACAATGAATAAGAAAGACCAAAGAAGAATTGATGCATTTGAATTTTGGTGCTTATGAAAAATATTGACTATAATATGGACTGTGAAAAATGAAAAAATCTATGTTGGAAGAAGTACAACCAGAATGTTCCTTAGACGTGAGGGTGGCAAAATTTCATCTCAAGTGCTTCGAACATGTTATCAGGAGGGACCACTCATCCCCGGATGTGCTTGGTAAAGTAGAGGGTCAGCAAAAGGGGAGGAAGACCTTGAACGAGATGAATTGAGAGAATGGCTGCAACTCTAGGCTCAAACACAGCAATGGTTGTGAGATCATGCATTTTTTTTTTTTCTGTTGTACATAGTGTCACTATGAGTCTGAACTGACTTGACAGCACCTAAAAGCAACAACAAAAATTCTCAGGCCTCACGTTTTAATGCTTGAATCAGAAACCGGGCATAAATCCCAGGCATCTGTATTAAAAAGCCATTCCGGTTCTGATGCATATTAATATTTGGAACTACTGTTTTAAAAACCCCCTAGTTCCCCAGTTCAAAATGACATCCTGGCCTCCCCAAGAAATGGATGTGTACCTGGTATTGTCTGAATAACAAAGACGTAATTTACTCTAGAAGTCATTCTTTAACAATTCTCTGACCATACTTATCACTACTTCAGCTTTAAAGCTTTGTGATGCATTTTAGCTGAGGCAAATGTCCTTTCTGACATTCCTGACAGAATGGAACTCCAGAAGTTTATTCTTAACTACTTTACTCAAAGTAATTTCCACTTGACTCTGCTCATCCTCACAATGATGCTTATTATTATTATGGGATAATTCCTTGCATATTATAATGCTTAAAAATGGAACTCACCATTCCCTACCTCATATTTTTTCCCACAGCATTTATCACCATGAAACAGTCTATATGTTTTATATACTTATTTTATTTATTGTATGTATTCCCCACATAAATCTAACCTTCCTTAAGGAAAAGGCTTTTGTCTGTTTTCTTCACTGCTGATTCCCTTATACAGGATTTGGCACAATGTAGACATTCAGGAATTATTTGTTGAATGAATGCATGGACGCTGTTTTATAAGCTGTTGTAGATTTCTATGTTTATTGATTAAAGAAAATTATAGTTTTCATCCTTATTTCCAGTTGTGAAGATTCCTTAATACATAGGCATCATAAGGTCCTTAGAAGTCCCATCATTTTAGTACAAATGTTACTTAATCAGTGACTGATGTGAAAGTTATTGTGCTTCAGGGCGACATGAGGTGGAACTGGACGGGAAGGCTACGAGAGGGGAGTAAGGGGAGAATAACTATAGGAAATTAATGCAAGAGAATTTCTGTCATACTCTCTGGACCTCCCAGTCTGTTGTTTGAATATGAATGCCTGACAGTAGGAATTATATTTGGATAGTAAATCTTTTTTATCAGAAATTGTGCTAGGTCAAACACCTCCCAGGATGCAGTATTTCCAGTTTCCTGTTGGAACATCTTACAGCTCCCACTTCACAGATGGTCAAGGTTTTCTTACTTGCTGATGATCCCATTGTGACACAGTAGAGTTGACTTCCACCTTTGAAGCACTGGGAGGGCAATAGGCAGATACATTTGGAAGTGGTGGCTGCAATGGAAGAGAAGACAGCGTGGCTCATCATAGTACTTTAGGATTGGGTTTCACCTAACTCCTACCAGAGTGGTGATCTCCTAGGTGGCAATGAATGAAAAAGCTCTGTTTTTTCCTGATTGGTACATCTTAGTAGGTTTATAAACCAAAGTAATTTTAGATATTATTTATTTAGCATTGCTAAGGAGCTCTGGTAGCATAGTGGCTCAAGCACTTGACTGCTAACCAGAAAGCTGGCAGTTCAAATCCACCAGCCACTCCTTGGAAGGAAGATGGGGCAATCTACTTCTGTAGTGATACTGCCTAGGAAACCCAACGAGGGGTCGCTATGAGTCGGGGCCGACTCGACGGCACATAACAACAACAACAACAACAATGAGCTCTTGTAGCGTAGTACATAAGGTACTTGACTGCTAAGCAAAAGGCTGGCGGTTCAAACTCATTAGCCACTCCTCAGAAGGAAGGTTGGGCAATCTACTTCCATAGTGATACTGTCTCGGAAACCCAAAGAGGGGTTGCTATGAGTTGGGCCAACTCGAGGGCACACAACAACAACAACAACATGAAACCACAGATTATGCAAAGTGCTTTAAATGCTTTATTTCATCAAATCTTCACAACAAACATATGACTTATATTTACAGATTAGGAAACAGCTCAGAGAAGTTAAATAATTGTCCTATGGTCCCTCAATTTATTTATTAATTATTATTATTATTTTCCAATCATCTCCTCAGTTAGGTTTTAAACATAATGAATCACAGGTTGAACTCTTTAACATAAATCTGTACTACATTTATTGATTTCTTTCTAGAAGGTTAGGCCTGGGAATCTGTAATTTCAATAAACAGTTAAATTAGGTGACTCTGTCATGAAGCTTGGTTTTAGAATCACCCAATCACTTTATAATTCTTATAAATCTTGTGTTCATGAAATAATTTTGAAACAACTATTTAGGAGTAAACTTACCAAAGCTAGGTATGCTTATCACTTTTGAGTAAGGGGATATATGCTCATTTATATATGTGAATGTTTTAATCCAAATTCAAGGTCCTTCACAACTTGACATCCACATACCTTTTTCAAAATTATCTTTTCTGTTTTCTCCAGAAATACTCTCTCTGTCCCTCAAACAAGACCGGAAGTGTTCCAGTCTTTGTTCTTTCATCTACACCTTTCTCCAGTCAAATGCATTCTTTCTTACTTCTCCCCATATGCCCAAATTCTACAAGTCTCACCTCCTCCATGCAGCATTCCACAGCCATTTAATCCTGTACTGATAATTTCTTTCATTGAACTCTACTAGTGTGTATTAGTACTAACATGTCTAGCATGATATAACTTATTTTATGTCTTTTCACAAGACTATTATAAGTGCTTTCTTTGAGAACATAACTATATCTCGTCTATCTGCATATCCCATTCAGCTCTTAATAAGGTACTCAATTAATTCTGCCTGATAAATTGATTTCAAATTCTAAATTTTTGGTCCAGGTATAAGTCTACAAGAGAAGAATTCATGTTGCCAAAATGCTTGAGTCTGCCTTAATATAATCAGTGATATTAGTGAGTAACTTATTTTAGGCAGACATTAGGGCTTTCCCATGTGCCTCAACTGATGGGAGAAAATAGAGAAAAGATGTGGGGAGATACTCATATGCACCACATACATAGGCACCCTGCCCGTGGTAGGATACATTTCATGTAAAAGCATGCTTTTCCCTTTTTATTTTTGTAAACCAGCTAGAGAAAATTCTGATACTGGAAAGTCATCCATTGATTGAAGGGATGGAATTTGGTGAAGAAAGGGGCCTACTCTACCTCAAGAGAAAAAGTTAGTTCTCTAGGCTGTGGAAAGGCCACTATTACCACTCTTATAGCATGGTTATGGTTAAATGCTGTAAGTAAAGTTATCTTCAGATTACCAGCATCAAAAGGCTCTTCCCACCATCCCAACTAATTCATCCTTCTATAGTCAGTTGTCATGCTCCCATCTATATGAAACCCTCCCAGGCAAGAAGGCATTTCTATCTATTACAGCTCTTATCACATTACTGCCTTATATTATTCTTTCAATTTCTGTGTAAAGTTACTCCCTTAACTACTGTGAACAATTCGTGGAATGCAACAGGGTCCTTCACTGTCAAATCTTTCATCATGCACAGTCCAGTGACTTTCACATATTGCTTACTAGATGGAGGTTTGCTCTCTGTTGGTTGAAGCTGGGTATTTTTAAAATTCAGACAGACATTCAATATCCACAAAAGTATGCTTTCTGTGGAGCCATTAAGGTTGTAACTTTTGAAAAGTGAACTTCATGTTTCTTTGAAGTTTCATGTTAAACTTTTTCTTATTTCATTTAGCATAGAGAAGGAAAAGAATAGCAAAATGTCCAGTTGTAATCAAGAACACAATTTACCGAAGGTGACATTCAATTCAATTAGACATTAATAATATCTCAAGTTGCCACGAGTGGGTTGCGTATAAAATGCATTTGTAGCTTTCCCTTTCTTCGTAAATACTATGGTTTTTACATTGATGTTGTTTTATGGTGCCACCCCAAACAGAATCCTTTATGGTACTGACTTATTCACCAATTAAAGAAGCTGGCAGCAGGCAGACCATATCATTAGGAAAAATAAATGCTTTGAGTTTTGTGGATATGAGCAGGACCATAAGCATACTTTAAATTATTTAAATCAAATCTCTTCTTAAGAAATGCGCATGTTTCAGTTTGATTACCCCAAGACATAAATACTTAGCCAACAGTGGTCAGATTAGTATATATCTGACCACTGTTGGCTAAGTATTCAAACTTTTTTTTTCTCCCTTTTCAGACAAACTTAGACTCCTGGAGTCTGTGGAGATTTCGATATACGTACATCAAAGAGGTAATAGTAAAGACAGGTATTTTGATGAAATTGTAAGCCACATAATATTTTTTACTCAGACAGATCCTAAAAAAATAACTTGTGGGAAAACAGCGGACAAAAAACGTTAAGTGATAAATGAGAAAGAACAGGAGAAGCCAGTTCACTAAGCACATCCTCAAATACTGAACCTACCTATTGTAGTGTAATCAGGGACCATTTTATCCTCCCTGTTGTCCAATGCTCTTGTTATTTTCTGCATCTATTTTTGATATAAGTGTTCTCCTAGTAGGAGTTTCCCGAGAACAGGGTTATATTTTAAGTACAATATGTTGTATATTTTCATCTCTTTTCTAACATAAATTGTTTCTGGAAGAGAAGTCAATTGGGCAATGGTGTGGGACAAACAACAAAGAGAGAAAAGAATAGAAGTTTTTATCTACACGATAACTTGGGAGCTCTGGTAGCATAGTGGCTAAGGCACTTGACTGCTAACCAGAAGGCTGGAGGTTCAAATCCACCAGCCACTCCTTGGAAGGAAGGTTGGGCAATCCTACTTCCGTAGTGATACTGCCTCAGAAACCCAAGGAGGGGTCGCTATGAGTCGGGTCCGACTCGACGGCACATAACAACAACAACAACAACACGATAACTTAATCCTGATTAGAATTAAGTGTACATTGGGTCCTGTATGGTATGAAGGTTGGCAGCCTGAGATCCTGACCCCTTGATTTGTTGCAATCAGGTGTGACTGGCTTACTATGCCACCCATGGCTACCTTCTGTCATCGGTTCAATCCTGTGGCTCTCCAGGGAAATGAATCCTGGTGATCAGCTTTAAGTGGATCAGGAAAGAATTGGATTTGGGTCATAAGATCTCTCTCCTTTCCATGACTGTGCTCAAGAACATTGGGCAGGGAAGTGTATGATAATACACTGTAGGTAGGAATATAATATGGTAAAAACATTTCTGCAAAGCAAGTTGATACATTGTATCAACAAAATTTTATTCTTAAATATATATGTTTCAATATACACTAATATATTTTAAAATGTAGAAATAAATATATTCTAAAATAATTTTTATCTTAAATTTCATTCTCTAGAGTATTATCCTAAGAAACTAATCTTAGATTATAAATTCATCTGTGTTTGATTTATCTATCAAAATACTGATTTTAATGGCCAAATAGTGAGGGAAAATTCAAATGCCTAAAAATATTAGTTAAATCACGGAGAATCCATACAGACTTCACTGACATAAAAGATGATGTGACAGAAGACTATATCATGACATTAAAATACTTTCATGATACATTAAGTACAAAAAGGCCATATATAAAATACCATGTAGTGTGGGATCCCATTTTATTTTCTAAGAATCTATATTATATGCATGGCCACCCTGATGTGTGTGAGGTCCCTGGGCAATTTTTTTTTTTTTAAATGGGGCTTCTGTTTATATACATAATTTGAGTCTCTCCAATATAATTGAGGTAGTTAATTCTAATTGTTGGCAGGTCTCATATTTTGTTTCTGTTTAAATCATTATATTTATTTATTTTACAATGAAATGAGATATTTTGGCTTCATGAAAAGTTATTTTTAAGTAAGATTATACATAAATGCAAATAAGATGTACTACCTGGGCTGAAGGATAAGCAAGAACATTTCTAGTATATGGCCAGCCCTGGAGCTTACCTGAACATTTTTCCCAATCGTAACAGGTGTCATAGCCACAGGATTCTTTCTTTGTGCTATTAGATGAAAGTTTTATCCTTTCAAGAGCCCATTCTAACTGTGGTCCATCTTGACAGGAACCAACAAGTAGAAAATGCAGTTCCTGGTTATTTAAACATTTCTGGGCTGAAAACTCACATGCTGATGAGACAAAGTGATGGTTGGAGGCTGTGTCAAGCACACAGAGGTCTTCTGAAAAAGACCTGCTCGAGAGAGGAAAGCAAGTATTTACATATAAGATGCAAAAAAAGAAAGAGCATAAAACCAATTTTTATGTTAGCTTATCACTTAGTTTTCTTCCTCTTTTTTTTTTTTTTTAAACCAATCTCTATCTTTTTAATCCTTCCATTTTATCCTCTATTCTGCCTGGGATTTATTTTTCTAACATTTCATTTTGACTTTTAACTTCCAATTACCCACAAATTAAAGTCTGTATTCTTGAACTCAGGTAATCACATCTTCCATAATTTGGCTGCAATCAACTTCCTTCCTAGTGTTACTTCCCATCTTCTTAAATTCCTCCTCATCACCTGAAAATTGCATTTATCGTTTTATAACCTGAAGAAAAGGAGTCCCTCCATGAGACAAATGGTCAAAGTTCATGGTTCAAATTCACCTACAAGTGTCTCAAAGAAAGAAATGATCTACTTCTGAAAAGTCACAGCCATTGAGAGCTCTGTGGGGAGCAGTTGGACTCTGACACACAGGGAATCCTCATGAGTTGGAATCAGCTTTAGAGCCACTACTTTTTTTTTTTTTTAACCTGAAAGCATTATTTTTCCTTTGCTGCCTTCCTCATGCTCTGCTCAGTCAGTAATACATTCTCTCTCCTTAGTGTTCAGCTCAATTCTTGGCTATGCTTTGAAGCTTTCTTTGACCAGCCTAGCTCTTTGTTGTTGTTGTTAGGTTCTGCTGACTCAGTTCTCACACATAATGACATTATGTGCAACAGAACAAAACACTGCCCAGTCCTGTGCCATCCTCACAATTGCTGCTATGTTTGAGCTCATTGTTGCAGCCACTGTGACAACTCATCCCCCTGAGGATCTTCCTCTTTCTCACTGACCTCTACTTTACCAAGCATGATGTCCTTCTCCAGGGACTTGTCCCTCCTGATAACATGTCCAATATATGCAAGACAAAATCTCTCCATCTCCACTTCTAAAGAGCATTCTGACTGTATTTCTTTCAAGACAGATTTGTTCATCTATATGTCCTCTGAACTCTAACACTGATCACAATGTTAATTTAGAACCTGTCATATATAGTCTTATATTATATAGCTTTTCAAATATGTCCTTATTGTGATTAAGAGCATGAGTTTTGAAGTCATTCCCTGCATAACTTGCTTAATGTCTTTATGTAGGTCCTACCACTGAGAGGTAACAAATAATCATAGTCTTTCCACCATTTATCAGGCATACAATTCAGTGATATCAATCACATTAATCATGTTGTACTATATTTGTGGCCAAATTTAATCTTGTAAATTTAATCTCATAATTGTTGTCAAATTTCCCATTACCATACAAAAACTCATAGTTTCCTAAACAATGACACCCCATTTCCACCCCTGCTAAGGAGCCCTGGTGGTACCAACAGTTAAGCATTTGGCTATTAACTAAAAGGTTGGTGATTCAAGTCCACCCAGTAGTTCGAGGGAAAAAGACCAAGTGATTTGTTCTTGTAAAAATTACTAATTGCCTTTGAGGTGATTCCAGCTCATAGCTATTTGGTAGGCAGAGTAGAACTGTTCCACAGTAGTGCTGTACCACTATAATCTTTGTGGAAGCAGACAGTCACATTGTTCTCCTCCAGAATAGCTGGTAGATTCAAATCACTGACCTTCTAGTTAATCGCTTAATCAC